TGTCACGTTTGTTGGTGATGGCTCTTCCCACTGTGGTGGCTTCACATCTTCACCTGCAGAGTATCAAAGAACCCTTCCAATTAGCTAACCCCCGTTGTGCTTCACATCTTCACCTGCAGGGTATCAAAGAACACTTCCAATTAACTAACCCCCGTCGTGCTCAGGTGGAAATGATAATGATGGTACGTGGAGTCACGTCCCACATGCCGTGTACCTTATTTATCCCCTCTTTTCTTAGTTTTCCCCCAGCCTCCATATCAGTCCTGTTTTAAAACTGTGGCATTATGCAATATTTGTCTTTTTGTGACTGAGATATTTCACTGAGCATAATGTCCTCCAGGGTCACCCATTTTGTAGAATATTTCATGAGTTCTTTGTTTTTCAGTGCTGCATAATATTCCATTGTGTGGATAAACCACAGCTTCTCTATCCATTTATTGATGGGCACTTGAGCTGTTTCCAACTCTTTGTAAGCAGTAATAAACATGGGCGAACATATATCTGCTTGGGTGGCAGTTCCAGTTTCTTTAGGGTATAATCCCAGTAGTGGAATTGTAGTGTTTAATCCCACTAGTAGAATTGGTGGGTCAAATGGTATTTCTATTTCCTACTTTTTGAGAAAACGTCATACTGCCTTCCATAGTGATTGCACCATTTTACACTTCCACCAACAGTGAATAAGGGTTCCAGTCTTTCCACAACCTTGCCAACATTTGTTGCTTGCTGCTCAGTTAAATTTTGCTGTTCTTACTGGGATGAGATGATATCTCATAGTTGTTTTACTTTTTAACTTCTTTGCAGTTACTCCATTCTTCCCACTCTCTCTGGCAACTGTGATTTAGATTCTGTCAGTATAGTTTACCTTTTCGAAAACATAAGGGAGCGCTGATGGCTTAGTGGCAAGAAGCTGTGCTACAATTCCAAAGGCACATGGTTCAAATCTACCAGAGAAAGATGCAGTAGTCCCCTCCCATGTGATTAACTGCCTCTGAAAACCCACTGGAGGGTCAGCTGTGGGTTAATTCCAACTCTACAGTACATAACAATAACAACAACAGAATCATGTCATTTATAATCTTTGGAAAAGACTAGCATCTTTGATTTTCTTAGCGCATTTCAGCTTCAGCCTTGCTGTGACAGGGTAGCTATCATTGATAGTCATTTGTGTGCCGTGCCAGTTACCTTATTCTGCTCTTGATGATGGATACTTGTGTATTTTACAGTTTTGAATGAAGCTGCTAATACAGAGGCAGCCCCCCCTCCGCCATCAGCACTCAGATAAGATTTCAAAATCCATTTAATTAGAGGTTACAGTATTCTGAGCAAATATTAAAGACACTTGTGATGTACAAACTCCCACAAGCCATCCAAGACAGGTGGCTGTGGCCCGCAGAGTGGGTTAACTGTTCAGTCTCTATTAACACAGTCACTAAGCTTACTTTTTCACTCCATTTAGGTAAGAAAACCCTCCATTCTGTTTGATAGTAAAAAAGTATAATTCTCTGTAGACCCTCACTGTTGCAGGCAAAACTGCAATTGAAAACTGGAATGAGGCAGATGGTGGGAGTGCCCTGCAGCACCATCCTGCCTGTGGCTGTTTCTGAGAGTGTGTTTGGCCCCCCTTAAAGGCACAGTGCTGTCCTGGTCTGCAGGGAGTTGCACTGCTGATTGTGATGCTGCCACCTCTGGCAGTTGAAACCCACCGGCAGCTCTGTGGGAGAAAGGTGGGCAGTCTCCCCTGTGTGGTCTCCACAAACTCACTGCAGGGCCAGCTGAACCAGTTGCAACTCAAGAGGCAATGAGTGGGGTTTTAATTTAGCTTTAAATCATCCTTTTTCTCTCATTCATTTCTCCCATAGCTTTTTGTTGTTGTGTGTACCTTCGAATTGGATCCGACTGGCACAGGAGGAGATTGCCTCTCCTTCTCCAATGGAGCATGTGGTGGATTCTAGCTGTGTACCTTTGGGATTACAGCACAGCTTCTTGCCACTAGGCCACCAGAGCTCCCTTCACATAGCTTTTGAGTAAAAAGCATAACTGGTATGGTTCCCCCATCTTTTAATATCTTAAAAATGAAAATATTAAAATACATGGGTATCATGAAAGCAGGACATCAAATGAAGTTAGTAACTACTCCATTCCCAACTCAGTACCCACTAAAATGATTTCATTTCTCCCTCTTCTTTCTTAGACATAGAGCAAAAGACGGACGATCCCCTAAGGGATTGTTTCTGTCACTTGGCCTGTGATGGACTAGATCATGACTGAGACCCCCCTCCTGGTCTGTGATTTGAGCCCCTGTTTTGTACTGAGATTGATGAAAAGGAAACAGGTCCCATCCTTAAGGCATCCTAATCCATAACAGAAATCTTGCTGGGATGGCCCAGAGTGTTTAACCAAAGTCCTTATCTTTTTTTTTAATTAAAGTATCTCTGATCTATCTTTTCCTTTTGGAGGCTATTTTGATGACACAGGCTGTTCCATTTTAAACCATGAGCCAGCCAGCAAGCAGTGACTGGAATGTGAGGCTGCAGTTAATCATGTGTGGCCTTGTGGCTTGAATGTCCTCTGCAGCCTGGCTGGCTTGTCCCCGCAGGCGCCGTTCACAGTCATCCTCATCCTCCCAATCTGCCATTTTCTGTCAGAAACGGGCGGCATTTTGCAACATCTTAATCCCTGAGGATTGTATCTCCGGAGGTACTGATGTTCAGTGGCTATGAAATGCCGTTCTCTACTGCTGAAGGTAGAAAAATTGTGTTTCTTGTAAATCAAATATGGGGCCACTCAAAGGGGCCTAGCTGACATGCTGGCTCAGAATGGTCGCTCACTTAACATCTCGCTTCACTTGGAAGCTCAGTGGATTAAAAATCTTGTGATTTGCCTCACGGCTTTCCCTCTCATGTTCTTCTTTTAGTTGAGCAACTTACATCTTAAAGAAGAGAAAGTCAAACCAGATGCCAATGGTGAGTAACTCAAAACTGGATTGAAACACATTTTATTTCCTTTACTATGTCTCTTAGGACCTAACAGCTTGTGTAGGGGGGACACTGTATCAGACAGGTTGATGCAGGTGTCCTTCAGTCAAGAAATGAATTATGTGACCAACATCTGTTTAGATATGAGGATGGCTACTTATAAATGGTTACATTTCTTACCAACTATGTATTTGTTTCCAAATACTGTTACTGTTTTAATGTTCCTTGATTTGGGATGACCGAGATAAAGTATGCACAAACTACCAGTATACCCAGCCTAATTATTCTGAAATCTCATTTGTGAGAAACAGTCGTTGTCCCCAGCAAGCACCAAATGCTGGTGAGCTTGTGGTGATATTGGAACTTTTAGTTGCTGCTGGTGGGATTTAAAAAGGTACAGCCACTGTTGGAAGGTGGTCTGGTGCTTTCTCAAAAAGTTGGAAATAGAAATATCATTTGACCCAGCATTTTCACTAGTGGGAACATACCCTAAAGAAATGCGAGCCGAGACTCAAAAAACAGATGTGTGTACCCCCATGTTTATTGCTGTGTGTTACTCACAATATGGAAGCAACCCAAGGGCCCATCAACAAACGAATGGGTAGAAAAACTATGATATCGTCACACAATGGACTATTAGGCAGCACTGAAAAACAGTGGACTCATAAACACAGCATGGGTAAGCCTGGAGGACTTATGCTGAGTAGAATGTCTCTGACAAATGGACAGATGCAGCATTATACTACTGTTAGAAAATAGGATAGTCGTGGGGGGTTAGGGAGAAAATGAGAATAGACTGGAGAGATAATACTGCGTCATTATCATTATTCAATCAGAAGAGGGGAAGAACTCGCTGAAAGGAATACGTGATTAGGCATTATATACATGGCATCAGTCTGGAACAAGGGTTGCATTGCTGGGAGGACTGGGGTGGGGGGAGGCGAGCGGGATGAAAATGTGCACAATGGGGAAAAAACCCATTTTTTATAGAATTTTTTTATAATTTTAATGAGCATTTACAGAGATTTTGGATTTCCATTCATTCATTGCTGCACTTCTCTCCCCGCCC